AATTCGGGGGACCTGCTCTTGTGAATGATCTATACGAGTTACTAGTGAAACTGTGGGAGCAAGAAAATGTTCCAAGGGATTGGAGCCGCTCCGTCGTAGTCCCAATTAGCAAGGGAGTCTCATTATCGGAATGCGGCAACCATAGAGGAATAAGTCTGGTCTCCATCACCTTCAAATTGCTTGCCTGTCATCCTTCATAGACTGACTGGCACTCGTGAAATCCATATACGTGAAGAGCAAGCCAGGTTTCCTCGACGTCGTGGCTTCATTGACCACATCTGCAGTTTGCGTCAGTTGTTGGAGCCCCGTCACATATAGTGGCGGCCCACCGTTGTCGCGTTCTTCGTTATCAAAAGTGCATTCGATTCGGTGGATAGACGTGCACTTTAGGACTCTCTACTCAGGAAGCGTGCGCCGAGAAATTTGTAAATATCATCTGAGCATTATACGCGCGTAGCTCAGGCAGAGTGAGAGCTTAAGGTAAGCTGTAATTGCCCTTTAATATCTCCAGAGGTGAGACAAGGATGCCCATTGCCACCTTTCCTCTTCAATTTCGCTATTGATGAAGTCATGGAAATCGCGTTCACAGGAAGCGACTAAGAAGATGTGGATCTACTCCCAAGTGAGCGACTTCTTGACTTGGAGTATGCAGACGACATTGTCCTAATCTGTGACAGCTCACAAACGTGCCAAACGACATTGGACAGATTAGCACTGGCTGTCCGTCACTACGGGCTTTGATTCGCACCCTCGAAGTGCAGAGTTCCTACAAGATTGGCAGGAACCGCCTCCTGCACTGACCCTTGGTGAGGATCAGCTAGAAGTCGTTCAAAAATTCAACTACCTGGGAAGTTGTATCAGCGCCCGTGGAATTGAAGATGAGATCACTAACCGTATATCAAAAGCTCGAAGTGCTTTTGCTGGTCTTCGCCATTTATGGCGCCGGTGCGACATCGCTCCCGCCCTGAAGAGTAGAGTGTACAATGCACCGGTACGTTGGACCCTGCTGTACGGTTGTGAAACATAGCCACTTAGATCAGCCGACTTAAAGAGCCTGGTTACGTTCGAGCACCGGTGCCTTCGCAATTTAGCTCACATCTGGTAAGAACATCGAATGAGCAACGAGCGTGTCCGACGCCTTGTTTACGGCACCGGAAAAGGAACTGAGCCGCTCCGCACCGTCATTTCACGCACCAGGCTCCGATGGCCCGGTCACTTGTTACGCATGTCAGCCCACCGACTACCATTACGTGCGTTGTTTGCGTGCCGGGGGTGTGGATGGAAGAAGAGGAGAGGTGGCCAAGCGATGACTTGGTCGAGAGGGATGAAGGCCGTCACTTCGAAGCTGGCCTCGGTTGGAGCGTCAAGGCTCGCTGGTTGGGGTCGGAAAGACGAATACGTTTGGCTGGATACACTTGCTAATGTGGCTAGGAGCCGACCCCAGTGGCGTTCGTGATGTAGGTTTTTTTGTCCCACCCCATCCCTCTTAGTCTCCCCATCTAATCACGATCTCCCTTCTTAGCCTAATACAAGTTTCCATAGTAATTTTTTGCTGCATAGTAGCCGGCTGTTGGCTTACTGGAACGATGCCCATCCGTTACCGGTACCTCAACCGGCGTGCACCTGGTGCATTTTGTCCGTCTTCCTTTTATGTACTGCGGCACAGTAGCTGAGGTGTTTCCCACCTCTAGCTAACGTGTAAAAAAAAACCGAGACACTTGTAGCGTCGTGACGTCTAATTCTCGATAAAGGATCGTTTGCCTCTGCTGGTTCAGTGTTGGCGTATGTGAACAAGTCCTGGCTTTGGCGTGGAGGACACTTGTCTCCTTTCGGCCTTCGACAACGGTTGTTTGAGGAGGATCGCTTGTGTGTGGTGGCGACATCGAATTCTCAGTGATGACGTTCGACATCGCGTCTTGGGAAATGTGAGTACTCGCCTCAACAAGCTGATTTTGCTGCGTCAGCTGAGTTGCCTCACTCACGTCCAACAGTATCATTCATGATCACAAAGTTGGAAAGGAAAGGATAAGTAGGACAACCGTGGCGATCCCATTTATCGTACGGAACCCAGGAAACAGCATCCCATAGACTTTTACACGGCCTCGTGAGTCAAGGTAGAGAATTCAGATTAAAAAGGAGTTTTTCAGACATCCTCTGCACGAACAGATAGTGATGTAAGCTAGCACAATCAACAGCCTAGAAGCCGGTTTTCAGGTAAAGGAAAATTACTATAGTCGGTCATATGTATGCGTCTCTTTCTTAACACGACGAAGAGTAAATATGTGGTCGATGCGGCCTCGAAGAGAGCGAAAGACCACCTGGTTTGCATTGATTCGGTCCTCACTGGAAACAGTAAGTCGTCGAAGAATGATACTCATGGGAAGTTGGACAGTAAAGGAAAGAAGGTTAATGCTTCGGTGGCTTTCGCACACATTCCATGTACCCTTTTTGGAGATAGACATGAAAGGTAATAGGCGTCAGTCTGAAGGCGTCCCTTCAGAGTGAATGGAGCCGTGGATCCAGTGTCATACCAATACTTCAGCGAAGATGGGGGAAAGTCGTCGGGTCCAGGAGCATCGTCTGGTTCCAACACGGTAAGCTAAGGTCAAATCTCTTCTGAAGTGGGAGGAGTGACATCAAGTTCCCACGTGGGCTCAGATGATTCAGCAAACGGCAGACGCAGAGTGACTTCTGAAATGCTCTCGAAAATGTTCCGCCAAATGTGTCAGTTGGAGCGGCTGAGAAAGGATCAACTCACTATAGTTCACAGCTATTGTCTCACTAACTGATGGCTTTCGCGGACCTGTGTGCCATATGAGTTGGAACGGCACTTGGCTGTTTCCATTAGAACTGGCTTTCGCCATATCACGAGTAATTGCTGCCCAACAGTGCTCCCGATCGATTCGAAGACTGCTTGTCAATCGTCGTTTCAGGGCGTTACAGACACGCTGAAAGTTACCAGCCAATGGGACTTGTTTGCGTGCTTCGATCAAAGTGGTCGACGCCTCAGAGATCCATACACCGTTCGGGTTTCTCAGGTGTGGGGTACAACCGGTGTCGAAAGTATTCTTCATAGTAAACTTGAGACGATTCTAGTCAGGGTGCGGCTCATGAACCTCATTCACTACTGATATTTGGTGAGCCAGTGCGTCATAATTTTGCTGAAATGTAGAGTACAAGTTACAAATGGGAGACTTAAATTTGGGCGTATCTTTGAAGCAGGAAGAGTAAACGCCAGACGTGCGCGCAACAGACCATAGCTGGAATCCCAGCATGTGTCTAAATTGACTGACAGTTTATGCTTGATGTGCGCCATCTATAGCTGATGGCAATACGGCTACTTTGGGTCCAGCTCATTGAAGAATTAAATGGGTACCAAGTGATAAGATGTAAAGGTTTGTGCCGGAAAGCAGTGTTGCTAATACGAAAACTGTGGTTGGCACATGGTTATATGAATCGATTGACATTGTCTGTCCAGCGTGCATCGACCCCAAAGCGGCTTCCAAAGAGTTGTTCACAGACCGGATCGCAAGAGAAGTGGATATCTAGTTTGTACAGGTATACAACGTCAACATCGAGGATGTAAAGTGAGCTTGTATTTGTGGGAATCTACCTGCAGTGCGGCTCGTAAGTGCGACCGTAAAGCCCCACTGCGGCTGCCTGAGGTGTACCGCACACAACCACCGACAATTTATAAAAGTTCAGCTATCCTTCCCGATCAGCACATATGATCAAAATCTAATGCAGGTGGGGGCTGGGAGGTATGCAGCTAGTGATCATGAGTTGCTTCGCTTGAGGAAAGCAGTGGCAAACAAGAGAATACGAGTGGCGATCCCGTCTGTCAGAAATAACGCGAGGCACCTATACTCTAAACCGAACTTACAACCCGTAGCCTGTTGTTCATAGTGGTAACGCTTTGAAGGTAGAGGATCGACCTCGCATCAACCTTTGAAGAGGGATGATGGGACTGAACGGTCCTGACTCCTACCAATTAATCTCGCTGTTGCGAATGAGACTGATGGTTTGAGGAAAATGGCATCCAGCATAGCTCATTGCACCGCGTAAAACTCAAGTTTTATCGCAATAAGCGAGGAATAAGTCGGGGAATTGGTGCTCAAAACCTATAATCCATGTCTGATATCAACAGGCATAAAGAAGCTAGTCATGTTCCACCACCGGATTCTTCTCAAATCAGCCCATTTCTGGTGGGACCACCGCGTAAACAATGAGCGTAGTTGGCGTCTTGTTTTTGGCGCAGGAAGAGCAAGTGAACATCTCAGCATCATCATTTCACGCATCAGGCTCCGATGGTGGTATCGTGTTATGCATGCTAACACACCAACCGCCACGACCAGGAGCTCGTTGGAAAAGAGGGAGCGAGGTCAATCAATGTCACCATCGAAGCGTACTGGCTGCCGAATTGCGGCCTGACAGATGATGAACACATTCGGTGAAATATAATTATCGACAAAGTGAAGGGCCAGTCTCAGCGGCGTCTGTGGTGTGGATTTCATTGTCCTTCTCCTTGTGGTTAGCCTCTCCTTTCAGCCACCACATTACTATCGAAGCGTAACATAATAACAAAGCACAATATCACCTGCCTCTATTTTAAGATATACCCATGTGCCATGTTTTATTTGGAACGTAATGGTGCATTTTTTGCAGGATGCTAGGTGAGGTATCTCACTTACGCAGTCAACATGTCGAATGAACGAATAATGGTATCAAGAAATTAGCAGAGAGCATAAACATTACGCATCAAAAGGGATGGCCGCATAATTCATTCGCTATAGGGTACACAGTAGTAAAAAGCTGAGAGCTGGACACACAGTCACGTTCGATCGGCCGAAGACAAGTTTGATTGGAAACAGCAAACAATTTGCGCCTGAGAATTCGGGTAATGTCGAACTCTTTAGAGGAAAAATGGTTCATGGTGAAATTGGTGGAGATGTAGTAGTAATAGAAGGCGCATTAAGCTAAGTAATAGTTGTGCGACTCACCTGAGAGAGCAAAACTTCAGGGCTGAGGTAATCGGGAGTCCCGACGGCGGCATCACAATGGACCAACCGTGTGTTTGGGTCCACCCGCACAGCAGTCCCGAAATCGGCCAGTTTTACGTGGCCACCAACATCCAACAGCAGGTTATCGGGCTTTATGTCCCGATGAATGAATCCCATGGCATGTAAATCTGCCAGAGCAAGTACAGTTTCGGCTGCGTAAAAGCGACATGCAGCCTCGGATATGATTTCTACCTCCTCCATCCAAGAAACAAGGTTTCCTCCAGGCACATACTCCATAACCATGTACAATGACGTCACATCCTAAGCAGAAGAGAAAGTGAAACGACAAAGCTGGTCGGGATATCATATCGAATGAAGATAACAATGATCGGAAAATAGCAGTCATATGAACCAAAGGAGCAGAGTTCTTGAGAAATAGTGTGCGCGGAAAAAACAAGCATTCACGGAGAGGATACGGGTAGGGTGCAGCAATTGTCACTAAGTCAGATACAGGGACCGCTTTTCATCCGTAGTTTCAGTGCCAGTTAAGTAATCCAATCGGACTCAGAATGTTGTAACGCCCTTTCTTGGGTATAGCGCTATTAGTCAGAACAACGATTCGATTCTGTATCACGGGCGGACAAATGGTTGATTGAATTCGGATCGACCCACCCACAGTTTTTCCTCACTGTAGCGAGACGAAAAAGGATAACGCACGACTGCTAGCGACCTCGAGACAGAAGAAGACAATGACTCGAAATGCGCTTCTATGTCTCGAGTCAAAGGTGAACACGGTCGGTACAGCATGCGTGGTTTCGTTATAAGGTAAGTGGCGTAGTTAAAACTTGGTAATGGAACGAATGTAGTTATCCAAGTGAAGTGATTACCACCCGACAACCGTATCACTAAGGGGAGCGCGCAATCAGCGATCCGGTAACACAGACAATTGCCAACTGATAATGCCGCCAACGATTACGCATCGTGTAATCGTTCCACAGCACATAAATGTCAAAACTTTTCGGGACGATAAATGCGTCAGGAGCGAAGTTTAGTGGAACTATGAGGTCTCCACAACTTCCACAACCTTGTGGCCGTAGATAGCTGGGTTGACAGATCGTAGATCCTGTTTTCAAAAATAAACCCAAACGCCAAGCCGGTTAAACGGGATACAATCAGGTTAGCGTGTTAAAAAGTACAGCGAGCAAGAGGTGCAGTGCAGAGGACCATCCGTGCTCAACGGGATAACTGGGGAATTTATAAAAGTAGAAAGTAGATCATATGTATGTAGTGAGCCGAAGTAAATACTACGTATGCGAGATTCATAGTTTTAGGTGAACCTGAAAGAAACGAAACGAAAGAGCTGACAGAAAAGGCATGGGGAATTGAACAAAAGATGCAATGTGTGTTGAATTCTTAAGATGTTAGTTCCCTTTAGTAAGTTGAAAAGTGTCGTAAGAAGACGAAAGCTGGTAGATGCATGTGTTGAACTGATAGTTTAACCTATTCATGTTCCAAACAGGGAGTGGATGCAGGCATAACGCGTAGTGCGGTCGTCATATATCTCCCAATTGTCGTAGCCATAAATTCCGTCCGCAATAAAGGAATGGTTACGCAGCGTCTTCGAATCAGACACTGGGGAGGGGGAATGGAGCACATTGATAGAGATAGTGCAGCTTGTGTCGTGATATAAACCATAATCATCAAGATAATTATCGCAAAAGCATGGAAAAGTCAGAATTAAAAGAGCTGGGCAGAGATGGCGAATACCATAGATAAACTCCCACTGAGAAAAGCAAACGACGCTCTGAAATAGGAAGGACATTAGTGGAACTCAGCTGTTCAGCCTGTATTTCGCAGTGGAAGGACCTTCTGAAAATCTCGATGAATCGTATACCGGAGGTTACAATAGCGTAAAGCGAAGTTCGTAAATGGTTAAAGAGTGATAATGCTGGGATAGACCAATGGTAAGAAATCAGAAGAAACATGACCGAATACTCATTCCATGTGGAGAATGGGATGTGATCCACATTCCTTTTCTTTCAGAAGAGTTACATGACGATGAGCCTTGCTAGATGATGCAAAAGTACAAGTACAACCACATGTAGCCGAGTATTAAGGGTGTTGTTCAATGGCGGGTCGTAGAGCATGAAGAGCCACGGGTCACGAACGTAACAGTCAACTAAAGCTCAAATTTGACTGACCTGCACCGCATGTGCATCAAATAATACTGTCGGAAAAGCAAGTTATCTGATATGAAGCTACGATACTGCATGCGAGCGCCTGTAAGTAGGTACACGCAATGAGCAACGCTCACGAGCCGGAAAAGCTTCATAAGATAAGGGTTAGGCGTTGCCCGCTCGCAATACCGCACACCATGGCCGAGTGCGTACATGTTTGCGCTATTCAGGCAGATATATCAGAACTGAAACTCGAAGCGACGACCAGGTGGCTGTTCCGAGTTTGACGTGTACCACTTTTACCGGAGTCGACAGTCTGGATTGCGGTGTTGAAGAAGTATGTCAACTACTCGTCAACGTTGGCGACACCAAACTTGACAGACCTGGTGGGCTTCACCCACTGATTCTCAAGTCACTTTCGACCATCATTTCTCCTGTCGTGACTGACCTTTCAACAGGTCGCTGTCCGAAGGTCCGTTACCGAATAGCTGGAAATGTTTGGTGGTGAAGCCTATCCCAAAAGGCGGCGACCCTAGCAAAGTAGACAACTACATGCCAATTCGTATGACACCTATTTTGGCAAAGATTGCTGAGAAAATCCTAAAGAAAGGATCGCTGCAATTGCTATAGTCAAAAGAGGTCCTGACCGCCGCACAGCACGGTTTTATGCAAGGCCGCTCATGCATTACAAACTTGTATGTGACGAGGCATGTGTGGCTGAAGACAATCAGCAAGAGGAAATCTGTCGACGTGATGTTCATGGATTTCAGTAAAGCGTTCGACAAGGTCAGTCATGAGGTTCTCCTTCACAAACTCAGGATGTGTGGTGTCGGTGGCTCACTGCACCGGTGGATCCGCGAATTTCTTGTTGGAAGAAACTGGAGAGTACAGGTCGACGACCGTCTAACTGACTGGTATCCCACTAGAAGTGGCGTGCCTCAAGACACTGTGCTGGGGCCCACTCTGTTCCTGATCCACATTAACGATCTACCCCAGCTTCTCCGGTTGCTATGTGCCTTGTTTGCGGACGACATGAAAATCTGGAGAGAAATTGGCGCTCACGACGATTGTGGCCTACTTCAGCAGGACCTCAACCGCCTATCCACATGGTCTGCAGCAGTTCATCTCCCGGTCAACCCAGCCAAGTCTGTATTTATGAGCAAGGGGAACGGTGCTGACGGCCGAACCGCTACATCCCACACCCTCCGTGAAGGACCTAGGTGTACGCTCGCGCTACAAACAACACGAGCAATTGTGGTGCACAATCCGCCTGAGGCGCGCAGAACTAATTGTGGGGGTTATCTACCGGAGCCCATTAAACCGTTGCTGCGATTGGATACCACATGTACAGAAGCACATGAGCCGCCCTCAGTTCTTACTGATGGGGGATCTAAATTTACCTAAGATAATTTGACCAGATGTTCGACGTCTTCCCGGTCATGGCAACGTTGAGGCTCAATTCGCTAAAATGACTATTGAAATTGGGGCAACGCAACATGTCATCAAACCGACGCGCGTAACTCCGTACTCGGCATCTTGTCTGGACCTAATGTTTACGAGCTGCGAGCAAAAGCTAAAAGAGATCAGAGTCATCGAACCTCTGGCGAACAGTGACCACTGCTCTATTGTAGCAAGCTTAGAACTGTCGTTACCATATTACAATCAACAGAAGCCGACATTCACCTATTGGAAGACGGACTTCAACGGACTCGACCAAGCTGCAAGTCAGACTGATTGGACACTACCACATGATGCGTCACTTGAGGCGTGGTGGTCATTAATAAAGGGGAAGCTTAACTCGCTCTGTACTCGGTTCGTTCCCCTTAAGTATCCAAAAATCGGACCTGTCAAACCGCATTGGTTTGATAGGGAATACAGACAGTTAGCGCGACGACGTCGTAAACTTTGGGATAGATATATCAGCTCGGGTTGTGATGAAGATTACGCGGTGTACAGGAAACAGCGTAACTTATGTAACGCCGCAAAGATCAAGAAACGCCGGCAGTTCGAAGAGGAGCTAGCATCCTCGGCCACAACTGCACCCAAGCGAATATTTGCCTACTTGAAACGTCAACTGAAACCTGGAGACGACCTACCGGTCTTAGAGAGCTTAGACAGGAAGACACTCATTTCAAGCGCGGAGCGCGCGGACGCCCTGGCTACGCACTTCCTCACTGTATTTTCCAGTAAACCGGCGGCTGTTCCAGTACCGGCACAGGTTGCGCAAGTCTTGCTCGACAGCCTACAATGTGATGCAGTCGAAGTACATCAGCTACTCGTCAACCTCAATGGTGCAAAGCCCCCCGGGCCAGACGGACTTCACCCACTAATACTCAAGTCCCTATCGATTATCATCTCACCCGTTGTGACAAACCTTTTCAATAGATCGCTCTCTGAAGAATCCGTCCCGAACGACTGGAAATGCTCGATAGTTAAACCGCTTCCCAAGGGTGGTGATCCGAGTAAAATAGAGGACTATAGACCGATCTGTTTGACTTCGGTATTATCCAAAGTTCTCGAGAAGGTTGTGAAAAAGTGTCTGCTGTCGTTCTTTGAATCGATGGACATATTGACGCCAGCGCAACACGGCTTTACGAAAGGGCGATCCTGCATCACCAACTTGATCTACGCAAACCACCAGTGGGTTCGAGCTCTCAATGAACAGAGGGATGTTGACGTGGTGTACATCGACTTTAGTAAGGCGTTTGACAGAGTGAACCACGAGGTACTCCTTCGTAAACTGAGGACATACGGAATCGGTGGCACGTTACTTCAGTGGATACAAGAGTTTATTGTGGGACGAAGGTTTAGAGTACAGGTCAATGACTATCTGACAGAATGGTTACCATCGACCAGTGGCGTGCCTCAAGGAACTGTACTTGAGCCAGCATTATTTCTTATTCATATCAATGATCTTCCGCAGCAGCTCCAGTCACCATGTGTCCTGTTTGCAGATGACTTGAAAATCTGGAGGATCATTGAAAACCAGGACGACTGCGCTCGCCTCCAGCAGGACTTAGAACGACTGTCAACGTGGTCCACTGAAATGCAACTCCCTCTTAACGCAAGCAAGTCGGAGTTCACCAGTATCACCAGACGTCCAGCCACTCGATCATACACCTTGGACGGCCAGTTGCTCCATCC